CTACGAGCGAGTTTCGCATTCTGACGCAAATCTTTTAAAACTAATATAGTGTTTATGTCTGTTTATTGTTTGTTGTTTACTGCTATTGTTTTAGACCATGGTGAAGAAATAAAAAAGTGTTTTGAAATGACCGCGAACCACTGGCTAATCGGATACGCCACGAAAGTATCGACAGTGAAGCTGGAGAACGAGTGTCCGCGTCAATGCCTAGAAGCACAGGTGAAGGACAACTTTGTGTGCAAGTCTGCGGTATACTTGGCAGAAGATCATACTTGCATACTGAGCACCGAAGATCGACACAGTCAGCCAGATATTTTCATCGAGTCGCACAACGATAGTAGGTCCCCTGTCCATTATTACCAGAACCTCTGCACATGGTCTAGCATGAAAAGTAAGTGGCTGCGACAATTTTTCATTCCAAGATGTTGTTTAAATATTATGGTTTAAAACTGTATATTTGATTCTGTCCGTTTTACTAGAATTAAACCTGCATTCTAGTTCCTCTTGTATAGTAGTTAAAGTGTACTCCCAATTTTAATATGCTTCATAACACTAATTACCACTTGAAATATTGTAATATAGAACTAATGCAGCGCTATGTAAGATAAATTGTAGTGGGAAAGTCATTTAAGCTCTTTCTGGTGAGGCATTTAAATGGTACCGTTCAACAATTTTATTCCAATTTTACTTAGCTTCATTTGATGCCTTGTGGGTAGACGGCGTGAACTACAACACATAATAATTTTTACCGATGTGTACGTAGACAACGGTCTCTAATCTTTTCGTATGTGATTTATAAACCTTCTTAGTTTGGCACACATGCCTCCCATCTGGAAAATGGGAAAATTTATATTCTTCATGATGCCGCTTTTCTGTACACGTCGGTGAGGAGCAGCACTTCGAGGAAAATTCTTGTTCCTCATTACTTATGGCATGGCGCTAATCCCAACTACAAAATCATCCGTCGAAAACGCCATACCGAAAGCAACATCTGCATTTCTGTTATCAGACGGCGTATAGTTTCTTGATTTGTATGCAGCAGATGGTGCTCATCTATACGTCTCTAAAGGACGAAAGACGAGTGGCCCTGCTTGAATTCAAATTCATGGCCTTTCGCCTGTAATTCCGTTTTCTACCAGCGAGTTATTTTTATTTTTTGTGGATTAAATTTACAATTTCAATATCTTATTCCGCCGGTATCACGTATTACGACAATGTCTAACCATAAATCGAAAATTCAGTTCTTTTATGATTCAAAAAGTAGCGCTTGGTTGCATGCAAACTTCCTCTTTTCAGGAGCTATTAAAGATGATGCGATAGCTGCTCGTTCTCTTTTCACCATTGGCAAATATCTGAAAGGATATATGGAATTTGTACAAAACATGAAAGACGGACAAATCACGTTCACCGGGATTTTGACAGACCTCAAACCCGGCGCGAATTTCACGGCTGATATTTCGAAGCTGGAGAAAATAACACCGTGTGAAAAAATTAGGAGATGGAAAGAACACAGCCAGGGAGAAAATACATTACTTTCAGCCGAATTTTATCGGATGAACGCGGATGCCACCGGCATGGTGGTGATTACACCTAGAAAATTGACGGCCAACATAAGTTTGACAGAAAAGATCATAAGCGTGTGGCCGAGAAGCTCTGCCGTGCCTTTGATG